AAGGAGGTGGGGAGAGAAGGAAGGAAGTGGGAATGAAAAGGAAGGAACGAAGGAGATGGGAAGGAGATAGACAGTTAGAGAGGGAGGGAGGGAGGGAGGAAGGAAGGAAGGAAGGAGATGGAAATGAAAAGGAACAAAGGAAGGAGGGGAGGAAGGAAGGAAGGTTTGGGGATATGCAGAGTGCCCTCTAAAAGATTAATGACAGACGTGAAATTCCTCTTAGAATCGAAAGCACAAAAGTGTGACTGTTTGCATTTTTCTCCGTAGATAAGCACCACCACACTGTGGAAGGCAAATATTTACCCACACAAATCTACACCAATAAAAGCGTTCACCTGGAGCTTTCAAAACCATTTTTTATAGATCATGTATGGGAATCAGATGAAAGCCACGGAGAGGCTGTTTTCTGCTGATGGGCCCCGGCCACAACATGAAAGGGCTTGTTTCGTCTAGAAGGCCTTCAAAGGGATATTCTGCCAGGGAGGAATCCTACATTTCTGCGCAACGAAGCCTGTCATTTTCAAGAAGTCGAGTTAGGATTATTGTCCAAAAGCGCCTGACTCCAGAAGGATGGGGATATTTTCCCCATAGCCCTTGCATAACATACAAACAAAAAAACAAAAAAAGTCCCTTCCTTAAAAACCTAGTGAAATAAAAAAATGAGTGAAATTAGTAGAAACAAATCATAACTTTTATAATCAATACCAGCTCGGTAAACATTTTTTTTTTAAGGCAGAAATTCAACACAGAATTTCCATCTCTGTACTAGAGAAACCTTAAATGGCTGAGTGCTTTATGCTATATTAAACCCTTCCTCATATTCCCTTCCCTTTCTCCGTCCCTCCCTCCCTCCCTCCCTCCCTTCCTTCCTTCCTTGGAGGAGAGAGCAAGGGATTGCAAGACTGGCTGGGAAACTGTCACAAAACGTTGAAAATGAAGATCACATGATCACCACAGCAGCCCAGCAGCAGGTGCCAGTAACACCAAAGCAGCCATCACTTCCCAAAATGCTATTCCCTTGGGAAGGATGGGTTCTGGATTTTGACTGCATTCTACAAGTTAGCCCATTTGAGATACCTTGGTTCACAAATTTATCGCTCTATGAGGCACCGTTTCCCCCCATGAAGGGTCACAGCAAGAAGGCTTTCGTTAGTATATATAGATCCTCCACATCCTACACTTCTCTCCTGAGTCAAAGCTTTCTACCTGATTTCCACCTGGCATTTTCTCTGGCTCTGGGCCTTGGCGACTAAAGAATAAAGAAGCCCACCGAATTGCATTTATAGCAACATGAAAACTCTTAATTGCAACGGGTGAAAATCGCAAGGCTACTTAATTGCAACGGGTGAAAATCGCAAGGCTGCATACGTTGAGGTATGAAGCGTGAGAAATCCAACAGCAAACCTTAGTTTTTAGCACATTTTTTTTAAGCCAGGAGGGGAAAAAACAGCATTTCTTCCTCTCCCCACAACGAGAATAACCTGGGAAATACCCACTCGGTTTATGTGGGTGACCCAGAATCTCTTCGAACCTTTGTCCTGGTTTTTTTATCTTTCCTATAACCGCCATCAAAAATATTAACTCTGACTCCTGGCCAATCAGAAAAGGCGCTGAATGCCTGATTTATATAACCCTGCATGCATGCTGCCTTGTTTTGCAAGAGGCCGAGAGTGCAGGTTTCTGCCCCCCCGACAACGGCTGAATCGGTTTCTCACGGCCTCACCTGCCGGAACTTTAAGCTGGTTTCCTTTGTTAATCCGAATCATTTTTATTCCTTCAGAGTTCCTGGGAAGCTGAAGCATTTCCCTCTTTCAAGCCCTGTTTTTCTACCTGGGAAACCCTGTTTTCTAGCTCAGGAAACTTTGCTTGGCCTCTCACTTTGGCAGTTTCAGCCAAGCTGGACAACGTCCATTGGGAAGCCAGGGTGACTGTAGAGCAATGGGCTGCGTTGATAGCCTGATAATTCCCCCCCCCTCACTCCCCCATCAGCCAGCAGAAAGGAGAGACACATTGGGAGGGTCCCATGGCGGAAGACTGACCTACTTCAATGGGGATCCAAAGTCTATTTCTGGAGATCTCTCCCACGCAAATCCACCCCTAGCCACAAAGGAGATTCTGGTGCATGCTGCAACAGATCTTAGCTAAGCTTTTCCAGCTCCCGGAGATTAAAAACCTGGGTGGGTGGGTTGAAGAAGAGATCGGAGAGCCGTTCGTCTGAAATGGTCTAGGGGGCAGGGGGTTGGACTAGAAGACCTCCAAGGGGCCTTCCATGAAAGAAAGGAAGGAGGGAGGGGGAGGGAGAGAGTGAGGAAGGAAGGAATAGCAATAACAATAGCAACAGCCCTTAGACTTATATACCACTTCACGGTGCTTTCACAGCCCTCTCGGCCTATTGTCCCCTAACAACCCTCATTTTACCGACCTCGGAAGGACGGAAAGCTGAGTTAACCTTGAGCCAGTCAGGATCGAACTGCTGGCAGTTGGCAGAGTCAGCCTGCAATCCTGCATTCTAACCGCTGTGCCACCCCGGCTCTAGCATAACATTACATCCGGTTTCCAGCCATACCTCTGTAATATTGTCTTTTCATCCCAACGACCTAATTTAACGCCCTTTTGCCAGATAATAAGGGGTACCAGCAGGTTTTGTTGACTTCCTGCCAATGGTCAAGAGCAGTTGTGAGTCCCTTTTTCTCCAGACCTCAATCTGAAAATCCCCTCCTCGTGTGCCTGGTTTGGCTGAGGATGATGGTAAGGAATCAGCATAAGAAATCAGAGCTTGCCCAAACACTCCAAACACTCCAAGCCTCCAAGCCTCCAAGCTGGGATCTCTAAGTTGGCAGTACCATCACCCCCCCCCCCCCCCCCCCCCCCGTGCCATGTCGCGACTCAAGGGTCTTGTAGTACCCTACAGGTTGGCGAAGGGCTACTGCTTTAAGTCTGCAGCCCATCCAGATTCCGGGGCTGGCCCCAGTGCCTATCAGGCCAGGGCGGATAGGTTCTGTAGTCCAACCCAGCTGGGAGAAAGGCGACTTCAGCTTGGCAACCGAGCCTCCTCACCGAGCGCCGGGGGATCCCCCTATGCGGGCGGCTGCCGAACGCCACCGTTTGCAGTCAGTGGAGCCAACCACGGCCGGACCGGGGCATAGGAGGATGGGAGACGGAGTCCAGCCTTCTGTAGAAGGCACCGATCGGGAAAAGTTGGAGCTGGCAGCCGGCGGTGCCTCTGGTTCCAAGCCAGCGCCGCTGCTCCGCTCCAGCCCAACGTGGCAAAGCCCAAGACGCAGATGGAAAACAGGGGAGGGGGGGGAGCCGCGCTCCGTTTCCCCGCGGGGGTCTCTCCAAACCCTCCCTCCCTCCCTTCCGCCCCTTCCCCAGCCGCCGCCCCCTCCTCCCCCGCTCACTTACGGCTCTCCTTCGCTCTCGCAGTCAAAGCTGACCCCCTTTTTCAGCCAGGCGGCGCGCCGGCTGCGCAGCTGGGACAGGGGGGCTGCCTCCAGCGCCATCGCCCCAAGTCCTGCGCTGGGGTTGGGGGGGGGGGCAGCGGGAGGAGCGAGCGAGCTGGGGCCAGCCGGCTGGCTAGCTGGCTGGCAGTCCCCAGCTGGATTCTCCCTCTGCCTCTCTCCGCACCGCTTCCCTTTCGGCGCTTGGGTCCGCCCCGTTTGGGCGAGGGGCGCCCGGAGGAAGCCAAAAAGAGGATGGCGAAGGGAGAGGCCCCCAGCTCCCATCCCCAAGCTGGCCCCTACCTGGCGCAGCTCCGCTCCTTCCTCGCTCGCCTCCAAGCCCTTCGCCCGGAGGATGAGGCTCTCTGCACATGCTCGGATGCCCTTCACTCACCTAGCCTGCTCTTCTCTTGGACTGCATCCTCTCCACACAGAAGAAGGGGGGGTCAAACCAAAAAGCAATGGATGGACACTAACCAAGGAGAGAAGCAGCCTGGGTTTAAGAAGAAACTTGCTAACCAGAGAGAACCATTGACCAGTGGAACAGCTTGCCACTGGAAGTTGTGGATTTATTTTATTTATTTATTTAGTTTAGTTTGTCAAGCATGTATGAGAAAACAAGTATAAGTACAAACATAACATATCAACGTATAAGTATAAACAGGTATAACTATATACATAATACATGAGTACAAATAAACGGGAACAGTAGGACAGGGATGATGGTGCGCTTATGCACGCCCCCTTACAGACCTCTTGGGCATGGAGTGAGGTCCACGGTAGACAGTTTAAAGTTAAAGTTTTGGGGATTTGAGGATGTCACAACGGAGCCAGGTAGTGAGTTCCTGGCGTTCACCTCTCTGTTGCTCTAGTTGTGTTTTCTGCCATCGAGTTTGGAACCGTTTACTTTGAGTTTGTATCTATGGTTTGCCCTGTGTTGTTGTGGTTGAGGCTGAAGTCGTCGTTGACAGGTAGGACGTCCTGGACGCTCCATCAGTGGAGATTTTGAAGAAGAGACTGGGCAGCCACTTGTCTGGAATGACATAGGTTCTCCTGCTTGAGCAGGGGGTTGGACTAGAAGACCTCCGAGGTCCCCTCCAGCTCTATTCTGATTGGAAGAGGACCTGGGGCAAAGGGCTGGCATGAAACAGAGTTGCATCCAACAAGGTAGGTGCTGAAGACTGGCTGCATTTACAGAAGGGGGTCCACGCTGGCTGGCTTCACTAGGATGGTACGTCTGTTGTATGGCTGGACCCTCCTCAATCTCTTGGCTTCCGTTGCGATATTGTGCTGACTCCAAGAATGGATAAATTCAATAAGTAGCTTCGTTGGGAGGCCCAACACAGCCATGCATCACCACGTTTGCTCTCCTGTATGGCAGGTCCCTGGCCTTGCGATTCCTGCTTGCCTTGAGGCTTTTGGACAATAGAAAACAAAAACTGGGTACCAGACAAGCAAATGTGTGTCCCTTTGTCTGTCCATCGCGCACCCCTATAAAAACCAGTCTCAAGAAGACATTGGCCAAGTTGGGAAAAGCCAAGCTGAAATATAGGGCTGCTCGGGAATGTTGGCTCATTGGATTGTCCTAAATAGCGCAGCCATCCCTGCTAGGTGACTTTTCGGCCTTGGATTTGAATTTCAGGACAACTGGGACTCTCGCAAATGAGATGTTCGGCACCCCCTCGATGCTGCAACGAGAAGGTAGGTGAAAGGAGAAGGGAACAAATGATTATGATTCATTGCCCTGAGATCATGATCAGAATGAAAAAGAGTCTCTCTCTCCCCTCCCCTTCAGCCTTCCGGTAAGCGCAATTTGGTCCTGCCACGCAGCAAGAAGAGGAGGTGGAAATGAATCAACAGGTGGAGATCGAATCTTGGGATCGACAAAAGGTGGTGGGTGTGTTGTTTCTGGAGAATACAAGGGATTGGCACAGCCTGGCTGTGACCTTGTCGTTTTCCTCGCCTTCCTTTCCTCCTGCCAGTCGCCTCTCCATGCAGGAAGAACGTAATGGCACCGTGGAGGCAAATCTTTCTCCTTGAAGAGCTTCGCCCAGTCGGGTCGAAAGAAAGCGGGAGGTTTATCACCAAACTTTATCTGGATCAATAGGCACCTCCAGGCTCTCAAAGAAACAAGGGTTTGCGGAAGCGAAATGTTTTTGCTCAGGAAGGGAGTTTGGAGGAAGGACTTGAGCCAGGTGGTCTTTATTGCAATGTTCTGAAAATTAGCCTCCCCGCCCCCATTTTGTATTGAGGGAGGAAATTACAAGATTTGTTTAATATTTGCTAAGGTTTGTTAAGACGGGGGTAAGAAATCTGGCACCCTCCAGATTTTGCAAGTGTTTCACCATGGGATGCTTGGTGTTTTCTGGCCTTGGTGGCTTTTTTGCAGGCGTTTCATCACCCAACTAGGTAACATCATCAGTGCTAGCAGTGTTGTCCTAGTTGGGTAATGAAACGTCTGCAAAAAAACCCACCAAGCTCAGAGACCACTATGGATCCCACCGCTCCACTCTGAATAGAAATATTCTCCTCCGTTTCACAGTGGAATGGACAGTGAGGAATGCTGATGGTTATTGAAGACGTCATGGGTCTGCCCCTTTTCTTTCTCTTCTTTCTTTCTTTCTTTCTTTCTTTCTTTCTTTCTTTCTTTCTTTCTTTCTTTCTTTCTTTCTTTCTTTCTTTCTTTTTTTTCTTTCTTTCTTTCTCTTTCTTTCTTTCTTTCTTTCTTTCTTTCTTTCTTTCTTTCTTTCTTTCTTTCTTTCTTTCTTTCTTTCTTTCTTTCCTTCCATCCCTTCCATTTCCCTTCCTTTTTCTTCCATTTTCCTCCCTCCCTTCTCTTTCATTTTCCTTCCTTCCCTCCCTCCCCCAATGGTGCCCTCCTGTTACCTGTCATGAGAATTGATGCAGCTCTCTGCAAATGCACGAGGGGGCAGTAGCCACATACAGACACACAGACTTGAAAAGAGCACTAAACTGCTTTTTATTTGGATTTGAATTCGGTTTGTCTCCTTATCTACTAAAATGCACCTTTCCCACTCAGCACTTAAGCAGTTACGTTAAAAGCACGTAAGGCACTTAAAACCTACTGCAGTGCTTTCCCAGATGCCTTTCCTGTCTCGGCCCCAGGCTATTAAAAACCTTCTCTTGTTAAAGCCACATAAATTCAAATTCTTAAACTGCAGCCAAAACCCCGACTTGGGGCCCTGGCAAAAGTTTTTTTTCCCATATTGGGAAAAGCAAACAGCTAAAGATTAACAAGGGGAAACGTGAAAAGTTACAGAGAGAGAGAGAGAGAGAGAGAGAGAGAGAGAGGTCTTCAGCAAGGGACAGGCCCTGAGAACTGATGTCACAGCTTTTATATCATGTTCCTTCTTGTCTTGGTTGTGCAACCTGGGGGGAAAAGTGCTTATTATCATGATTATATTTGAACTGGCACAAGTCAGCGAGCTCGGCTCTATCATTATGGAAAAAAATTTTGGAACACCTCCAGCATCAGATTCTGGAACATTCACTTCCTGCTCCATCTCCAACCCGCAAAGATTTATTATCTTCTGGCCTGTTGGCACATGAATAATCCTATTTCTCACTCATGCCTTTTTCCCCAGAAAAGTGACTGTTTCGAAAGGAAACGTACGTGAAGCAAGAATTTCCCCAAACCGATCCGTGCTCTTTGCTAGATTGGATCTTTAATCTGCACGCAAATCACTTCCAAATAAAAATGTGAAAGCGTCATTATTACCCGTTGGATTTCCCTACAAAACCAAAAAGAGAGGGTGTGTGAATGACTCTTTCTAAGAGCAGGTGCCTTTCTCCTTCTAGGCCCTGGCTGGCACGGTTATTTCATCAGGACAACTGCAAGGAGCATCATTTCACAATGGCAGTGCACATCCGTTCTAACAACAGTGTGTGATAACCCAGAATAGAGTCTTCTCAGTTTCGTTGGGGTGCATTGTGTCACTCCAGAAAGTCACAATGCAAGTTTAACCCTCGTCTAAGCCTGAGCCAAATGTTTCTGTTGCAAAGTGAGACATTTGTTAAGTGCAGAACTGCAGGCTGCTACTGCTGACTGACTGCAATTTGGCAGTTCGAATCTCGCCAGACTCGAGGTTCACTCGGCCTTCCCTCCTTACGAGGTGGGTCAAATGAGGACCCAGATTGTTGAGGGCAAGAGGCTGACTTTGTAAACCACTTAGAGAGGGCTGCAAAGCACTGTGAAGCGGTATATAAGGCTAAGGGCTATTGCTATTGCATCCAGATTTGGTCACCATGATATAATTGTTATTGCTAGTTCTTTCTTTCTTTCTTCCTTCCTTCCTTCCTTCCTTCCTTCCTTCCTTCCTTCCTACCTTCCTAAGGGCTCTGGCTCTGTGTCTGGAATGGTCTAAGGTCTCCCTTCCAACGCTGTCCGTCTGTCCTTCTGTGATTCGAGCGAAAGGCAGTCTAGACAGGAAGGAAGTCCCTGATCTGCCACCGTCACGGGGGTCCTTATGAAAACAGACCCCAACAGCTGCGGCTCTCACTGGCATCTCCTTCCTTCATTCTGGCTTTCACTGGCGAGGAGAAGGGGGGTTTCTTGATTTCTTTGCCTCCTCCGATACTTCCTCCCCCCAGTTAAAATGAAGGGTACACAGGCAGTCCTCAACTTATGGCCGTTTGCTTAGTGACTGTTCACAGTTACGATGGCCCTGAAAAAAAGTGACTTACAACCCACCGCCAGGAGTTAAAAATTCAGGCATTTGGCAACTGACTCGTCTTTACGACGGTCGCAGCGTCCTGGGGTCACGCGATCCCCTTTTGCGACCTTCTGACAAGCAAATTCAAGGGGGAAGCCAGATTTACTTAACGACCGGGTTATTAATGTCATAACTGCAGCGATTCACTGAACGACTGTAGCAGGAAAGGTCATACAGTGGGACCAACTCACTTAACGAACGTCTCGCTTAGCAACACAAAACTTGGGGGTCTCAATTGTAGTCGTGAATCAAGGCTCTCGGGAGAAGACGCCACCCAAAAACGAGTCACAATACCTGGTTCCTAAAGAAGAGCATTAAACATGAATCACCTTCTGGTCCATCACTTCATAATGATGTTGGGACGACTGAAACTGACTGGTATGGGGAAACTGAGTAACAAACAACAAAGGCTGAGTAGATTTGCTTGCCTTCTGGATGGCACCATGAGGACTGAGGCTTCCCCAAATATGGTGACAGCTCTGAGCTGGGTTGCTTCCTTGCAGACGTTTCATTACCAAACTAGGTAATATCATCAGTGCTAGAAGCGGGAAAGTGCAAACTTATTCCTTTCTATCATGGATGATGTTACCTAGTTGGGTCATGAAACGCCTGCAAGAAAACCACCAAGCTCAGAGAGCACTCCTCCTTTCAACCCTGAGCTACAAACATTCCCTTCTACTAGTAGTGTTAAAAGCTTCCAGGTGTAATTTTACCTGCCTTGAAGTGCCCGCTGAAGGGGGAAATGCAGCTTTAAAAGCCATTTAGATAATGACCAATTCATACTTTTTTTTTTTTCACTTTAGAGCCGGGAAGAAGACGAGCGAAATTAAGAGACAAGAGGGGGCAATCCAAGCATAAAAGCCCCAGCCAGTTTTTGATGGCACAATACAAATAAGACGGAGGGTGAGGCCACCAGCTCTGTGCCACCATGACGCAGCTCATCCCGTCCACCGAAGAAAGTCACTCCCTTCCTTTCCCGGTTAAAGGGCAACGATTCTGACCACATCGGTTGTCCCAGGAAGCAGGAATTGAGAATTTCAAGGCAGTGGCTCAGCGTCCCCCACCCACCCACCCACCCATCTCATAAGAAGACCTTGTGTCCTTGCTCATAATCAGGGCTGGCCTTGTGGAAAGGCTGCGCGGGAGATCGAGAGTCACCTGGACGAATTGGGCAGTGAATGAACGAATGAAGAAATGAATGAACAAATATTCAGCCAGCCAGTCAGAAAAGCCAACCCTTCAGTGCTCCAGGAAAGGGTCTGCATGCTCCAAAATGGTCCTCTTCAGAGAGGTATCTCCTCCTTCATTTTAATGTTTATCTACCTACCTACCTACCTACCTATCTTCTACATAATTTCTATCTCTCTATTTATCTCTAAGCCATCTTCTCTGTCTGTCTCTCTAATCCATCTCTCTCTCTCTCTCTCTGCCTCTAGCTATTGCCTACCTATCCTCTGTTTTATATATTTGTCTATCA